CGCTCAACATGGCCTCCAAAACAGCCCAGGAGCCCTCGAAAACGTCCTCCAAGAAGGCCCGAACGGATCATGATGGCCTCCAAACGGCCAAGATGACTTTCGAAGGCTTTCCAATAGCTTGGCAAGTCTGGCTTCAACGTTCAGCCACACAGGCACTTCCGAAAAGGCAGGGGGCGGGGATGATTCGCCGAAGGCGTGTTCGATAATCTGGATCAACAGAGGGGTGTTCCGAAATGGGCCGAAGCATCCGACATGAATCCCGATGCCTCTGATGGGGACCCTTCATGGGGCCACGAAACGTGAGGAGTGCCCCCAAATGAGCCCGAAGCGTCCCGTGGAGACCCATCGTGGGACAACGAAACATGTGAAGGGTGCTCCGAAATGGGCCCGGGGCGTCCCGTGGAGACCCCTCGTGGAACCACGAAACGTGCGAGGGTGATCCGAGGCGTGGGCGTGGAGGGGGGGCGTGGGCGTGGGCGTGGGCGTGAGCGTGGGCGCGGGCGTCGGTGAAGGTGCTGGCGCTGGCCTGCGCTGCCCCCCCCCCCCCACGGGCGTGAGCGTAGGCGTCGGCGTCGGTGTGGGTGTGGGTGCTGGCCTGCTGGCCTGCTGCCCCCCCTTTCCGGGGACGGGGCACACATAGGCTTCGATGCCAACAACAACAATCAGTATAAGACTGTTAGCTCTTACTTGCCCGTATGTCATTCGAAACGAGTTCCCGACACCCTCGATACCCGCCCTTTTTGTCTTCGAACACACCCCCTTTGGGGGGAGTATTTCTCCTTGCGGGGGGCGGCGGGCTTGGACAGGCGGGCAAACCTGAACGGGCGGACAATCCTTCGTGGGCGTACATGTGCCCGCCATTGGAATTTGTGTGGGCCCTGCAAAAAGAGGGGGAGAACGAGGGAAAGCGGGAGGAAGGGAGGGGGAAGGACGAAGGATGAGGGAAAACGCCAGGAGAGAAGGAGCGAAGAGGGGGGCGGTTGATTAGAGGCAGAGAGAGAGAGAGAGAGAGAGAGAGAGAGAGAGAGAGAGAGAGAGATCAAACAAAACAACAGAAAAAAAAGAGGTAGAGAGAGAGAGAGAGAAAAGGGAGAGAGAAAGAAAGAGGGAGGGAGGAGGCAGGAGAGGAGAGGGAAAAGGGAGGAGGGAGAGGAGGGCGAAAGGATAGGGCAGAGAGGCAGAAGGATGAGGGAAGAGAGGAAGGAGAGAGAAGGAAGGAGAAGGGGGAGGAGGGACGGAGAGGGAAGAGGAGCAGGAAGGTAAGAGCGTGAACGTTCGAAGAAGTCCTAGGCGAAAGCGCCGTTCCTGAAGGAAGTCTCTAGCGGGAGCCCACGACGGGCGGGCGATCCCCTGACGGGCGGGTCGGGCGGGTGGGACATTCAAGCAGGATGCCTGAGAATGGCGAGAACGCGATTCCTAAGTAAATTGTGACGGCGTCTTTGGCGCAGCGTGTTTCCAGAGCGTCGAATGCGCGATTTCTTAATACATTACATGGAAGTCACAGGCGAGAGCGCAACTTCTTATAAAATGTGAGGGGCTCTCTGGCGGGAGCGGGGGTCTTGATTACATTGCGAAGAAATCCTGACTCAATTGCGAAGAAGTCTCAAGCGGGAGCGCCGTTCCTGAGTAAACTGTGAGGAAGTCTCAGATGGGAGCGGGGTCCTCACTAAATTAAGTCACGCGCGGGAGCACCGATCCTGAGTAAATTGTGAGGAACTCTCAGGCGGGAGCGGGGGTCCTGAGCAAATTTGGAGGAGGCCTCAGGCGGGAGCCGTTGTTGTTGTAATCCAGGGGTCCAGGGGCGAAGTTTCAGCATCAAGGCTTTCCCTGACAAAAAACAGGGTGCGAGCGTCGAGGGGCACACCTTGATTGAGAAAAACCAGCGTGCACCGGTGAGGGGGGATCAACAATAATCACTCTTCAGAAGTGAGAGCTCAACAACAACAATAACAACAACAACAACAACAACAATCATTTTACCCGAACGCTCAGTGTTCTCCCCAGTGCCAGGGTTTTCATGCGACGCCAGCCAATACCCCCACTTCGTGGGGGGGCAATGCAAGCTCTACCAAACATCCACACGACTCTCGGGAACCACCCACACCCAGCTTCCCGCCCTATGACGTCAGGACACTTCACTTCGTGGCGCGCGGACGATCGTGGATACTACACTGGCGTGGAGTACACACCCGCAGAGGTTGATCACTTGTTTGGGCCCCGCATGTGCCCCGCATGGTGCATTTGTTGCGTATGACATACATAGTACAGAGAGACAGAGAGAGAGAGAGAGAGCAAGACAGAGAGCCAGTGGAGAGAGAGATAGAAAGAGATTCGTCACATGTGTGAGGCAACCTGAGAAGATGTGGTACACGGTACACGTGAGATGGTACGCAGTGCCAAGATAGTTGGTCACATTTTTGAGGCAAATTCCTGGGAAGGTCGAAGCACCTGAAAAGGTTCCTCGCAAAGGCCCTTTTAACAGAAATGTTTAAAATCTGGTGGGTTTCCTAGGAATCCGCAAGAGCGCGCGGAAGGATATTTTGACAATTTTTTCTGAGAAAACCATTGGGTTTTTGATGTTTTTATGTTAAAATCGCTACGAAACCTAAGGTTTTGGAAGGATTTCGTCTTGCGCGCACGAATGTCCACTTTACCTTATTTTTTGCAAGGGATTCTTGCAATTTGATCAAGTAAAAACAAGAATTTTCATTTTCTATTGTTTTTTGCAAGGGAAAACGAGCGTCAACAAAAAACCGGATCCGGAGCTCATCCACTTTTCTGAAGCTTTCGCGAAAAAATGATGAAAATGTAGCTGCGGCCTAGGCGCGGCGCAGAGGTCGCGCACCAGGGGTCCCAACAATAATAATTCTTAAGAAGGAATAGTGTTCAACAACAACAACAACAACAACAACAACCATTTTAAGGCTGTACGCTCTTACTTGCCCGCGAGCCATTCAACACGTATACCCTACACCCTCGATGCCCGCCCTCTTCGTCTCCGATCACACCCCTTTTGGGGGGATTATTTCTCTTTGCTGGGGCCGGCGGGCTTAGACGTACGGGCAAACCGGAACGGGCGGACAATCCTTCGGGGGCGTACATCTCTCTGCCCGCCATTGGAATTGGCGCGGGCCCTGCAAGAGGAGGAGGGGAAGAACGAGGGAGAGTGGGAGGAAGGGGAGGGGGAAGGACGAAGGAAGAGGGAAGATACCACGTTGTGAAGGCGTCCTTGGCGCGCGCGTGGTTCCTGAGCGCCGAAACGCAATTCCAGAATAATTTGTGAGGACGTCGCACGCGAGAGCGCAGTCCTGAGTACATTGTGAGGAAATCTCGGGCGGAAGCGGGGGCCCTGACTAAGTTGCGAGGAAGTCTCAAGCGGGAGCGCCGTTCCTGAGCAAATTGCACGGAAGTCTCAGGCGGGAGCGGGGGTCCTCACTAAATTGCGAGGAAGTCTCAGGCGGGAGCGCCGTTCCTGAGTCAATTGCGCGGAAATGTCAGGCAGGAGCGGGGGTCCTGAGTAAAATTCGAAGAAGTCTCAGGCGGGAGCGCCGTTCCCACGTAAATTGCACGGAAGTCTCAGGCGGGAGCGGGGGTCTTGATTACATTGCGAGGAAGTCTCAGACGGGAGCGCCTTTCCTGAGTAAATTGCGCGGAAGTCTCAGGCGGGAGCGGGGGTCCTGAGTAAAAATCGAAGAAGTCTCAGGCGGGAGCCGTTGTTGTTGTAGCCCGGGGGGCAGGGGCACAGTTTGAGCAGGAAGACTTTCCTTGAGAAAAAACAAGGTGCGAGGCCCGGGGGTGGCACTTCAATCGAAAAAAATCAATGTGCACCGGTGGGGGGGGATCAACAATAATTATTCTTCAAGAATGAGAGTTCAACGATAGCAACAACAGCAGCAACAACAACAGCAGCAACAACAACGACGCAACAAGCAGCCTCACCAAGGATCCGCACTTGGGCCACGAACCCAGGGACAATGAATGACCGTTCGGCCCCCTAACTCTGATGCATGTAGGTAGATAGGTAGGTAGGTAGGTAGGCAGGGAGGTGCGTATAGATGTAGTTACGTATGTATGTACGTACGTACGTATGTGTGTGTGTGACTGTTTGTGCGTCTGTCTATCTATCTGTCTGTCTGTCCTTCTGTCCGTCTGTCTGTCCGTCTGTCTGTCTCTGTCTCTGTCTCTGTCTCTGTCTCTGTCTGTATGTCTCTGTTTACACAGCTCTTGCCCAGAGCGGCCACATCAGGTGAATCCCTGGCAGTGCCTGCAGCGACGCGCTTCTGCTGCAGGCGTGAGCTGCACACGGCAGGCCGCGCGCCCTGCGAGCGCCGGGCCTGCTCAAAAGGTGGCCGCCCAAGCCCCGGCCCGCGGCGACCTGTGGGTGGCGGGCACCAGAGGAGCAGCAACAACCGCGGGAGCAGGTGTCGCTCCTCGAGCGGGAGCGCGCGCGAGATCAGAAGGATAGGAGAAGAAGGAGGCAAGGGAGGGAGGAGGGGCAGGAACGGGGAGAAGGGGAAGACCCTGCAACAGTAGAGCTTGCTCAAAAGCACATGGCGAAATTGGAGTGTGGACGTGTTCGATTTCGCTTTGCCCTCCATCTACCCAGCGACCGTTTCTCCCCTCGCGAGCTTCACACGACAATGTGGAAATCGATCACATCCCGACACTTTCACAATCGCATCGATCACGCAAGCACAAGAGGGGCTGACGGAAAGCGCAAAAGCCGTTGAATTCAGGGAGAACCATCACTGGGCAGCTGTGTGATCAACCCTCGACGAGAATCTGGGCGAGAATACTGTCGCATGAGCAACTGTGCCCTGGACGAGAATTGGATCGGCACTGGAGCATCGATGCTGCCTGCCAAAATGCATCGGCGTCGCTGCCTGATGGCTGCGACTTCCCTCGGCACCTCGCCACTTCGGCGACGCCTCCCGAGGGATCCTTGCCGCGGGTGCACTGCATCGACGGGGCCCGCGGGCGCGAGTGCTGCTCGCTGCTGCTCAGGCTCGCCTCTGACCTTTGGACACCCGAAATGGGTACCGAAAGAATGGGCAACATGCCCAACAACAAATGTTGTCCCAAGCCAACAGCGGCCGCTGTTGGGCGGGCGGCCTCCTGTCTCGAATGGACACAGGCCGCGGCGGCGTGGACAGCGAGTCCTGTTCAGAATGAACAAGAGCTGCTGTTGGGCATCGTACCCATTCTTTCAGTACCCATTTCGGGCGTGCAGATGACCGATCCCGCCGCGCGTGGGCGCCGCACGCCCCCGCAGCTGCCCGGTCGCGGCCTCGGCGGTGGCCAGCGGCGTCCCGCAGCGCGGCCGGCTCTGCGCACCTCCGCCCGGCAGGCGCTCCAGGAGGACGACCCGCACCGGGCGGCTGGCCGTGCCGTGGCCGTGCCGTCGGCAGGCGAGGTCGTGGTCGTGCCGGTCGGGCGGCTGCGTCAGGTCGAGGCTCAGGAGGGCCGAGGTCACGCGCCTCCTCGGCTCCGGGCGCGCCGGTGCGGCGGCACCCCTCGCCCGCGCGGGCGCCTTGAAGTGCAGCCGCTTGGGGTACTGGAGGGAGGCGGAGGTGGAGTCCTCCTGCGGCAGCCAGAAGACGGCGTGCTGCACCCAGGTTATGAACTCGTCCAGCTGGGAGCGCCGCATGGCGCGGAGGAGTCCGCCGCTTGTGTCCACGTGCTGCGCGAACGCGGGGGTGCAGTGCAACACGGAGTAGCTCGGGCTCAGGACGTCAATGCACGCTGCGGGTTCCCCCTCGAGTAGAGTCTCCCCACCACACGAGAGAGCCCCTGAGATCACACTCGATGATACTGGGCTGGACTGGTTGGAGTCGTCCGTGGAGATGCCCGCGAATCCAGAATCTTCTTTTGAAACGCCCTGCAAGCTGAGAAAGCTGCTACCGAGCGATGTCCCTGGCACGCTGTCTCTCAGAATCGGACTCGTGTCAGTAAACTCGCGGATGCCGACCAAGTACACCGCCCCCCCCTCCCAGTGCACTGAACGGACGCAGAAAACCTCGACGTTGAGGGTTATACTGGAGCTGTCTTTCATGGAAACGTGGAACGCTGCACTGAGCTCAGACGCCAGCCCATCCTCACTCAGCAGCCGAGCATGGCACATCTGCTCGGTGAACTTCTGGCGATCCTGGTCGGACACCAGGAACGACCGGATATCCTCACCTAGGAGGGGGCGTTGCGGGTTCAGCAGGAGCATGTCCACGAGCTGGGGAGATCCGTCCTGCAGGCGAAAGTCGCTGTCGAGCTCCACCACGGCGTCGCAGATGCCGCGTAGCACCGAGCGCGCAGCCTTGAGCTCGTTTCTGGGACTGTGACATTCCATTTCGTACCCCACGGCAAGGAAAACAGACTGGTGGTATAAAACTAGAAAGATGGCAAAAACGATCGAAGCTCCGATGACATCAGGAGCCTTGTCCGTGCACAGGGGGTCCTCGGAAACGAACACCGTGCTACACGCCGACATGGAAACAGTACATAGCCATGCGAGATTCAGCCGGATGTTCGTATTGAACCAGCTCACCACAATCACACAACAAAGAGGCAAAATAAAATGACAGTTACGACATGACCCAACTGCGACAGGAGAAACAAACAGAGCTACAGATACGATCACAAATGAGGACGATGCGTCCAGGGTGTTCAACGTCAGACTTCTAGGAAACGCCCAAAGAAAGAGCGTTGTGAAACAACCCGCCATCATGCAGACGTCCTGGAGGGGGGAATTCCTGCGTGGTTCTGACAACGTGGCCCTAGGTAATGTCATCCCAAGAACAACTGCAGCGGCAGCAGTGCTGTATGGAATCGCAGCCTCTGCTCGAGCCAGCGCCCTCTTTTGTAGCTCCGCGGCGACCTGCTTCACGGCAAAGTCGCTGGGTGCGTCAGTGATGAGCAGGACGGAGTCTCTGCACAACCCGAGCAGACGGCCCACGTGCGAGGCAAGGGGGCGCAGTGGCGAGCTGTGCCCCACGAGCCCGGCCGTGCGGACGAGCATGACGCAGCCGACCAGCGCGAACCAGACAGCGTACAGTGCTACCAGTACCGTCCAGCGAGCTCCATCCCCCGAGGGATCCTCTCCGGCGGCATCCATTCTCGCCGGGCGGCCTCGGTGCTGCCTGCCAGCGCGGCCGGGGGCAGGCTCTGGAGCGGGGCTGCCTCTGGCCAGAGCGGCTGGAGCCAGAGTGGCTCCAGCCCAGGATGGCCACGGACGGCCCTCCCCCTGCGGCCGACCGACCGACGAGCGAGCGCGGCTGCGGCCGGCCGCGCAGCGGCGCTGGTCGCCGAGCCGCCGCTCGGAGCAGGGCAGCCGAGCGAGGACGACGAGGAGAGATCTCGGAGCCGCGGAGCCGCGGGGCCGAGGACGGCTGAGAGCGAGAGGAGGACGAGGATGGACGAAGCCCGAGGACGAAGCTGGACGAGGCGGTTCCTCGGAGCAGCCCGACGAGGCCGGGACGATGACCGATTCGGACGAGGAGAGGTCGAGAGCCTCTGAGATGAGGCGGCTCTCGGAGGACGCGTCGTGTGCCGCGGCCTTCTCGGAGCCATCCGGAGCGCTCTGGCTGGCCATCGCTCGGACGTCCATTCCCTGTTTTTTTTTTCGGTTTCGTGCGTGGTTATTTCGCCAAATGATCAAGGATGCTCCTCGATGGTCCTCGCGGAGAAACAAACGCACCCGTCCGAGCGATGCCAAGCTGGGAGCGCTCTGGAGCGCTCTGGCTCGGGCTCTTTCTTGTCCCAGGCCAGGCCGGTCGAGGCAACGGCAGCTCGAGGTTGGCGTCTGGGCCCGTCCCAGGGTCCGGGCGCACCACGGCTCCGAGCTGCGTCGGGCGGTGGCAACGAGGGGGGCCCCCGAGGGCCAACTACCGTGGTCTCAACAACCTGGGTTAGGTCGGGCATGTCCTCCTACAGGCGGGCTTGGAAGAAGAATGACAAATGTTCAAAAATACACCAACTCAGTCCAGAATCGTCGAAACATCGTCCCCTGACTGTTTGTTGAATATTTCGGAATGCTCCTCCTGTAGAGGGACACGACCGACGTAAACTTGGGGGAACAAACAATGGAATAAGCACAATGACTTGGGAGGCACGCGCAGATTCCTCGGCTCGGCGACGAAGGCGCCGACAGGGGCCTCCGGCGCCGATCCGAGGAATGCGAGTCTGTGTGCTTTTTGTTGTCAGCGGTTGTTTCCGCATCGGCAGGCCCTCCTCTGAGACGCGTGTTTGACGATTTCCGAACCCTGCAGTCAAGATCTGTAGTAAGGACGCGCTGTAAGGACGCAAGACCCTTGGACGATCCTTGGACGCCCCAGTTGAAGCTTTTCTAGCGGCGCACTGCCGAACAAATCTAAGGACGCAAGGATGCCCTTGGGAAGCTTACCCGTACTTACTATGGATTTCCGCTGTACATCGACTTGCCTGACTCGATGATCGGCGAGGGTAGGGTTCGGACTTCGCCACCGACTCAACTGGCCCTCCCCCGATACTGGCGGCCGACGTCATCCGACCGACTTCGCTGCCGATCACCGCGGCGCCCCCCAGGCTGAGGGGTAGCGATAGGGGGAGATAGGCGGGGGGAGCAAACATCGACATGGAATCGGCAATGCATCGCCGATAGACCGGCGAGATGCCCTCGATACTAAATCCGAGTGTCCCTGGGCAGGTGGGGGCTATCGGGCCCCTGGCGGCGATGACTGCACGATTGGGGGTCGATGCATCCCCCTGTGCCTGCCCCCCCTAACAGTCGGACCTAGGATGGAAGATCATCCTACAAGAACGTGAGACCCTCCGCCGTCCAACATGAAGAGCATGGCACCCACCACGAAGTGAACGTTTTTTTCCTATTCGGCGTCTCGATATTGGGCGGGAAAGGGGGGGGAGGGGGGGAGGTCTGGCTCCAGACCTCTGCTCAGTGCGATTGTTTGCAACAGTGTGTCCTATGGGGGAGGGACTCCACCTGCTTGGAGCAGGCGCCAAAAACAGCCAAGATCTACTCCACGGGGGGGAGAAAGGGGGGGGGGCGAGGGCCCGCGCCGATCGGCAAAACAATGAATAAAAATACGATCACGAACCGACCTCGATCTTATACCTCGATCCGACTGTATCGTTGCCCATGACGGACCAGGGACCGACCGTCCTGGCATTCCTACAGGCCCTACGACATGTACTTAGAACCCATAAATGCTCTAAGAACATAAGCATTATTCTACGAACGTAAGCAATGTTCTAAGAGCAATGTGTTAAAACAAGACAGTCCCAGCCAGCAATGTACCAAGAACATCTCGTGGAAGCCACAAAAGGTTATCAGAACATTCTTCGGCAGGCCTATAGGCACGCCTGGACGCTCCGCCACTGCTTGGCCATCTGACCCACGTAGCCGCCGGTCGCCGCTGCGCCCGCCGGCCGCCCGCAAGGCGGCCGCGGGGCCGTGCGCCTGCGGTGGCGCGCGCGGCCCGCCCGGAGCTTCTGCGAGCCGCTGACGCGCGCCGGCGCGTTGAGCAGGCGGATCTTGGAGGCGTCCTGCGAACGGGGAGGAGGAGGCGGAGGAGGAGGAGAAGGAGGAGGAGAAGGAGGAGGAGGGAGGAGGAGGAGGAGGAAGAAGAGGAGCCCCCCCCCTGTTTTACCGAGGACGAGGAGGAGGAGGAGGAGGAGGAGGAGGAACAGGAAGACGAGGACGAAGAGGAGGAGGAGGAAGAGGAGGAGGAAGAGGAGGAGGAGGACGAGGAGGGGGAACGGGACGAGGGGGAAAAGGAGGAGGAGGAGGAGGAAAAGCAGGAGGAGGAGGACGAGGAGGAGGACGAAGAGGAGGAGGAGGAAGAGGAGGAGGAGGAGGAGGAGGAGAGGGAGGAGGAGGAGGAGGAGGAGGAGGAACAAGAAGAGGCGGAGGAAGAGAGAACGAAGAGGGCGATTTCCCGATGCGGCTGCCCCTCGGGATGCTGCCAGTCCTGCGCGGTCAGTCCAGGCGGATCTTGGGGGTCTAGGGGGACATTTTTTACTGGAAGCGGAAAATGCACACTATTACCTTGAAGAAGATACTTGCTCAAAGAAACAAGCCTTTTAGTAAAGTGTTGTTGCTCCGTTGCGGGACAGCCGCGGCGGCGCGTCCGAATTGCAGAACCACATCCTACGCGCGCGCCCTGAATATCTTGTCGAACAGCATCTATAACTCGTTGAATGCACGTCCAAGGAAGTCCGCGACCCGATGATGCGTGACCCTGATTACTCGAACGAACGCATCGCGGGGTGAACCTGCGTTGAAGACAAGAGCCCCCCGCCCCCCGACCGGGCCCTGGCCCCGCACCCCCACGGCTTCACTAAGGCAAACCGCGGATTCTCCTAAAGTAAAGAAGCGGTTTTACTAAAACGAGAAGGCGGCCTTATGAAAGCGAAGCAATGGCTTCATTAAAGCGAGGCGGTTTTAGATAAGGCGCGCCGGTCTATGCATTCTGAAAACGAAGTGTTACGGAAGCATGGAGAAATCTTAGTACAGCGGAGTGACGGCTGGGGCAAAACTGCGCGCAGAAATCTCGCTCCTCCCCCCAAAAAAAACGGGCGCGGGACTCCAGGAACGAGGGCGGGTCGCAAGTTCGCCCGTGGGCCCGGACCCTGTCGCCACCGTCGCCGCGATGTTCGTCCTCGCCGCCGTCGCCGTTGCCGCCGTCGTCGCCGTCGCCGTCGGCGCAAACGCAGCCGTCGTCGTCGCCGTCGCCGTCGCCGTCGTCGTCGCCGCGACGCGTGCACATTCACGTTATTACCAGCGGCGGGTCGCGCGCCTACGCACGCGCCATTGCGCTCGCATTTCCGCTCCTCCGACGGGGCCCATCTTCCACCCACAACTGTCTTACAGTAGCGGTGGGGAAATTACGCCTCTGATTCTACGTCGCAGCGCGGGAAAGGCAGTCTGCACGCGCGCGTGCCGGGGCGAGCCCGGCGACGGCATCGCGAATTGTGCGGCGGCACGAGCGAGAAAAAGGGTGAGGGCGGGGCCGCGGGGCAGGTGGAAAGGAGAGGGGGCCGCTCACGCGGCGGGGACAGAGCGGGGGGGGACAGACAATGGCATATAACACCCGGAAAAGTCCGCGCACATTCTTCGGATCGGCGCTGGGGCCCCCTGGCGGCGCCTACAGCGCCGCCCCTGGCGCGCACCACGCGCCAGGGAAGGGGGGTCCAGCGCGGATCCGAAAAATCGGCGGACCCTAGAAAATGCGTGTTTTTGTTTGTTCCCAACCTTGGGGGCGCTCCGCCGGCGGGGAGGGGGGGGGGGGGGGCAGCTACAATCGAAACGTGGCCACGAGAGCGTGGGCCCCGAACGCGAGCCAATTCGCCGAACACCCAGGGGCCCACAAACGCATCCGAGACGAAGAGACTCCCAATGTGGCTTAGGCGCAGCACAGAAGGGTCCCCCTCGAAACCCAGCGATCTTCATGACCTTCGTGCCAGCACCTGCACCGACCCGGTCGAAGTCCGCGCCGGGGGCGCGACGTGAAGCGGCGGCATCGCCTGTCCCCAGATCCAACGGGGGCGCAGAATGCGAATTGAACCTCCCAAGAACTGCATCCTCCGAGAACCCATCGGGGGGCGGGGCCCGACGACGGGCTTTCGGCGGCGGCGGCCCCATTTCTGTTGTCTGAAATGCGAAGGTTACCGACGCGATGACGACGGCGACGGCGACGACGACGACGACGACGACGACGACGACGCGTGGCCCTCCGGGGTGTCCCACTAGCCTGCTGCCAGGCGCGGGCCTCCGGGGAGTCCCACTAGCCTCCTCCTCGTCCTCCTTACCCCCCTCTTCCTCCTCGTCCTCGTCCTCCTCCTCCTCCTCCTCCTCCTCCTCCTCCTCCTCCTCCTCCCCCTCCTCCTACTCCTCCTGCTCTTCCTGGCTCGCGAGTCAAGGTGAGTTCGTCCATCCTAGTCTTACCACTGGCGTCGGGCCCCGCCTGGCGCAACACGCTGTCGCGAACCGCGCGCCCGACTTCGAAAGCCTGAGAGAGCGGGATCCCGCTTGCGGACCTGGCCCAGGGGAGGTGGGAGAGGTGGAGGACAAAGGAGCGCGACGCGGCAGTGACGGCGAACGAGGCGGGCCAGGGGGCAAGGAGGCCCATGCGCCCGATTGGGCAATCTGTGAGAAATCGAAACAAAATAAAGCAAACGATATCGATAAAGACAAGGCATCTCAGAGAATGACTGATGGAGTCGGGAAGAGGGCGCCCTAAACAGCAGCGGTGGCCCCACGTCGCGAAAGTGAGTTCTCGTCTGCAAACCACCGCGCAAAGTCTTTATAACCGCTGGCGACCACATCGGGGAAAGAGAGTTGACCACAGCTTGCGCATTCGCCCAAATCGATTACCCGAATCCGCTCGGCGCCAGTCTGGGAGGTAACTATTCAGTCTTCTCTTGAAGATCTTGGCAAGGCTGGATGGGAAAAAGAAAGGCCTGGAGCTCAGCAGCGATCAGCGACTGTACACGGCGTTGTTTCACTGGGTCTGCCAGGGCCTCTTGTGCAACAGCGAGCACACGAGAGCCACCCTGGGCCCACGTGCTACGAGCAGAAAAACCGTCGGCAGCCATATTGAGGAAGGAGAGGAGAGGTTCGGAGGCCCAAAAAGGAAAGATATTTTGCAAGACGCCCGCTGGACCATCGGCAAATGCGGCACTGCGCACTCGCGAAGCTGAGCGTAGATTGTACCCTATTCAGGAAACGCTTTCAGAGCCGAGCGCATCAGCGTAGTAACGAGCAAGGAAATGAGCAGCTACTTGAACCTCGGGCACCCCCATTCACGCACGTTAAAGATGTCGGCTCTCGCTAGATCGCAGCGTCCGGTCGCGGGGAGACGGGCCAGCGCCGCATGCTCTTTCCAAAAGACAAATCGGGGGAAGCGCGAAACGCACCCCGGAGCCGAGACCGATCGTCGATTGCAAAGCTTGGCGGCGACAACTGGCGGGGGCACGGCGCGGGCGATGCCCCTCGCACGGGTAAAATATTCGCCGATGGGGCTCGTTCCATATCTGCTCAGCAATCGCGGGCCCGAGGAAAACTCCAAAGCACGTCAGCGCAGGCGCGATTTGGAACTCGGGCCACTTCGGGGCCAGCTCGCGGACGCGATCTCGGACCCTTACTTCCAGAAGCAGAAAACTGACCCGACAAGGGCGCGGCAAAACACTTTTGAAACGAACCTTGAGGTGGAGACTAGCGGTGCGACGGGGGGCTTTGCCGACTGCGCGTGGGCTTTCCAGCGGGTGTCCCCAAGCACGCAGCCGACGTCGTCGGCGCAGCATCGAACAGTTCCGCGATTGCGGCGAATGACAACGCGACGGAAATGAACGCTGAAAGGCTGCGAATGAAAGACGGAGGGGCGAGCTGGGAGCCTGCTTGGCCGTAGAAGCAGACGACAGAGTAGACCAGGCGGCAAAATAAAAGACAAGGGGGGGGGGAACGCCAGCTTGGAGGACACGGAGGAGCCAGGCGTGGGAAATTGACGGGAAAGCTTCGCCGAAATCGAAGGCGAGGAGAAGGGAAAACGCGTTCGGAGCGTCCCGGGTTCAGTCCTGTTTCGCGGCCATGGACGTCTCATTCGATGACGTTTAACCCCGGGGTTCCTTTCGGGCGCGAGCCCTCGCCGCATGGGGTCGATACATTCGGGGGCCTCCTGCCCGACCGAGGCTGCGGGCGCAGACTGCGGTCGCCACCCTGTAATCTGCGCTCTTCAAGCCGAGCGGCCCGGCGGCGGAAGCGGAACGAACAGGGCCGGAAACACCATTCGGCTCGTCGCCCAGCGCGAGGAAGACGCCTCGCACACTGTTGGAACTCCAGCTCAGGACGCACCTTTGGACGCTCCAGCGCGCGACCTCGGAGGGCACCTCTGGGCCTGCGGGGCAACGCCGCCAGGCTTTGCACGAGGGCCCATCGGGGCCAGGGGCGCTCGGAGGGCAATGTTTGAGGTGCTTCCTGATGCGAGTCCCGATGCGGGCCAGAGAGGCGTCGGGGAGGAATATGCGGGCACGCACTTCGGCGGCCCCCTCGTCAGCGGGCTTCTCGGCAAAGACGCCGCCGCAAAGCAAAGCCAGACCTGAGATCATTTGCCTCGGGTTCGTCGTCGTCGAGAGGCCAGCGAGGCCCATCTTCCGTCGAAAGGGGCTCACATGTTTCCACGGCGGCCATGGCCACGGAGTCCTCAAACAAGTCTGGCACGGGCGCGGCCAGGGGTCTTCTCTGATCCGGCTCTGCACTCGCCGCTGGGCATTAGCGATAACGCGCAAGTTGACATAATTCGTCTGCTGGGTGAACCGACACTGATCCTCCAGCGCAACTTCGGACTTCGGTCGAGAGAGGAGGCAGCGCGATGCGATCCCTTGCGAGGCTGCGAGCACGACGAAGTTTTTCGGCGAGTGCTCTGCCCCGGCTCGCGCGAGCGACCGGCCTGGAGACAATGATGCGCGAGAGGGCATTGAGCGAGCGTTTGTTTATGATCGAGTCCCTGGCGAATCTCGCCGAGCTGCTCGCGGGGCTCAGAGAGGGG